GGTTTGATTTCAGGTCAACATACCTCTCCGTCTGGGCAGACACTCGAATGTAGTTATGTTTGACGTAAATCTGGAAGCAAAACCATCGGATGTGAGGAGACAGCAAACGGAAGCAAACCCGGGGAAGAGAAACAGCGTGAAAACAGTAAATCACACTACTTGTGAGTAGTCAGAAAAATAAAAAAACCGCTGATCTTTTCATTCACAGGAAGAATAAAAAAAGCAGATGATAGCGGCTTTCACACTTAAGCCAACGAAGCCGCGTGTTGTCTAGCTGCTCCAGTGGGATTATCTGAAATAGAGGGTGCACACGACCTGTATTTCATCTCTACTTCTGTTCTGTCAATAGATTCTGTGCTGTCAAGAGGTTTAGATTTTTCGGCCAAGATTTCCTCATGCAAGTAGTCAGCCAATGCCAACGTATACACTGCTGGTTGTCGTCAAAAAGATTCACATAGTTTTCCGGTGGTTTCCGCTTTCGGTATAGACTGATTGAAGTTTTCTGATCAACTCGCAGTGTAAAAAAATCTGCATTATTGGATGTTGATCAGGTTGCCGTTGATCTATTCCCGCCAGGTTAGCCATTGACTTGCAAGGGTATCTTTATTGTCTCAGCATACGTCACCAGTGAGCAGCTCGTTCGGTGAACTGCCAACATCACCGAGCTGATCAACAGCTATCTGATCAACAACCTGTTAACTCCCTCAAGGCAGCTGTATATCAACAAATTACTAATAATCTGCTTTATTGCACTAGTTCACCAGAGACACCAAAAACGCTTTGGTGGCTGATGATGAATCATGTTTTCCCCGGTAAATTCAAGTTTCATCTTCATGCTCTTGCGTCAGTTACCCAGACTTAAACAGCACCATAAATGGCTTTCTTCTCAATGAATGACACGTTGATTAGCACTCCCTAATTTCTGTTGCTTACTTTTGCGTCACATGTATATTTGAGGTCTATGAACATCGTTCAGATGTTGAGTCACAAGTGTTGGTGTGTTCTATCCAATGGTGTCGACAGACTTCAACCTGGTACCTACTCACAAACCAGTTAGTAGTAAACGTTAAAAACCAATCGTAAGATCATCATGGAATGTTTTTTCTTCGTGTCAACGCGATCAGCTTTTAGGAATCATTCTGTATTGAAGTTGTAGTTGAGAACATGTAGAAGACAGTCCAACAAAAAGCTAAATCAGTAAGCGCACTATGTTTGCTCACAACACGAGTACCTCATCCAGAGCGAACTCCTCCACTTTGTCTTGGTTAGTCGGTGGAAATCTGTTGCAAAAGGTGACAATCAACGTTCGGATGCTAGAGAAATGCATCCAGACTGACAACGCTATCCGTTCCTTCAAACCGCACCTGCAAATTTGTCACTGTGTTATTCTCAGAAGCCTTTGCTCTTCACCTGTCATATTCAGTGACCACTTACCGAATAAACACTACCTCACGTTCAGGTACCTGAAGCACTCCTCAACTGCAATGAAATCTCCGGAGGTATTAAAGTCATTCTGATATTCAGCACACACTATGCGGTTTGTGATCCGCTTTCCAGAAACCTATTATTGAGCGGATTTTGCCTTCTCTGCGCAACTTTATATATAGCAAAATCGAGTTCCTTCAAGTCAAACTAGAATATAATCAGGAAGGCCAGATTCTGAAAGTAACCACAGAATGCTCGGAATATACTTAGACTCTAAAGCCCTACCAAAATCGCAATTGGAAAGCGGGAAAGCATCCAGGCTAGTCAAGCATTTAATCACTTCCGCCAAAGACGATGATCGTTCAGGCACGCCACAAACCTAAAACCGGATGTAATCAGCTTTCAGGCATTTCACAGAAGCACGATCGATGGTTGTTCACCAAACGTCCATCAGAAAGACGATGATCGTTCAGGCACGCCACAAACCTAAAACCGGATGTAATCAGCTTTCAGGCATTTCACAGAAGCACGATCGATGGTTGTTCACCAAAACGTCCATCAGAGAGCGTGGAACAATGTCGGAACTAGCCCTTTCAGTGCCGCGGGGCCGTTGTAACGTTTCCACTCGTATGCAGTCGCTTGTTTCAAAAAAGCTGTTGTGTTCCTTGTCGGTAAGTTCTTAACTAGCACCAGGCACTGGATCGGGGTCAGCAGTTAGATGTAACAAACATGCAGCCAAAAATAAGAAACTTAATCTTCGAAGGCTGATAAGCCCGCGTAATAAAATGAGTTGGAATAAGTGTGATACTGGGTAATATGGGATCACAAAATTCCCGTACTTGTCAGTTATTGTAGGCAAAGTCTGCTTTTCGACAACATGAAGAAAGCCGAGGTGGCGGTTGAGCAAGTCTGCCTAAAATAGGGTTAACTCAGTCACTCAACACGTATGACTACGGAAAGAGGCTTCAATTGCTGAAGGTTTCGTTCTGACCTAATTTCTTATCATACGTTGTGTAAAACACTATAATAGCTTTCCTAGCAGCAACAACCAGAGGTCGTGATTAACCAAAAGTGCAGTTCCCCATCGCAGCGAGGATGACTGCAGCTGGTCAGTCAAAACTTCATTCCCTTCGTTTTAGGAATATTTCGAGTCTAATGGTGTTAAAAATAGTTTCGCGCAGACTGCTTTGATTTGGCGAATTATAGTACGTCACTTACTTATAAATCAGCGAAGAAATTGAAAAAGCTCGTCGAATTTTCGCCATCGGATTTCAGCGCCGATTATCTCAAGATACGATTACCAGCCAATCTTCAGTGTTATCAGATTGCATGCGAAGTACTCTGGGCGGAGAATCCGAATGGTACACCCACAATGCAGTTGAACGAAGCATTCTCCATTGGAAGGTAATTAGATTCGTTGCAGATTCTGCGAAAACGTTTGCGGTTTCCAGGTAACTGACACTTCCGCCAAAAACATAAGGTACGCCAGCATTTCACTGTAGCTTTCTCACTGCACAAAATATCAGCGATACCTAAGGATCTTCCGATTGTTGGGCTGTCACCACTTCCACCCATTATGCTTGTCTCATTTCTTCTTTTCCGAGCAGCTTACTTATAGCTTGTTTGTACGGTGACATATTCGTGCTTCCGACTGAATATGTTTTGTATGCTTTGACCTTCATTTTGATCGGGATCCCAGAGAAGGATGAAACAACTATGCCGTTCTTCTTTGCCTTCCCGTATACGCTGTAGTCAATTTCAGGAATAAATTTCGATTGGCTATAAACGTCTCAGTGATTGGAGGGTTACGAAGCTGAAACGAAACAGTCACTAGTAAATGTGGCCAGATTATCAGTCAGTCCAAGACACAGGCAATGGTACATTTGATCAAAGTGCGAGAAGAGTTTGTGATTCGCAATTGAGATTTCGTCCTGTAGGTGGGGCCAGTCTATGCTGAGAAGCGCTATACAACTGTTTCATCCATACTGGGGTTCAGAGAGTCTCGAATTTACTAGCGTTCAGCCTTCAGCGGCTGAACAGCAGTGTGGTTAGTTCACACTCACTGTGCTGTTCTAAAACTTTAACAATGAATGCCTATCATTATCAGTAAGTTTATCTGGGCATAATAAATGGCGACAAAAGAAATACACCAGGACACGTTTGTTTCAAAGTCTTACACGGAACCCCAAAGTTCTTTTTGACGAAATTTCGCGTTGTAGTTTTGAGCACCGGTTTTCGAAGGACTCATCGCATAAGGATGGATAAGTTACTGAAATCGGATGTGACTCAAAGAACGGGCAAATTTAGCAAAATGAGCGGGAGCTAATATATGTCAAGACAACATAGGTTTCCGAATTTTAAGGAACATCGAGAAATGTAAAAGTTTGTTGAAAAGTGGACCGGTTTCTTCCATAAAAACTTCTCAAACAAGTCATAGGCACGCGGTTGGTGCATAGCAACCATGTGGCTTGATGGAAAAAAGAGGACCGAGACGTTGCAGTGACATAATACTCCAATAACATAGCATAATTTTTAGAGGGAAATGCCTAAATACCAGTTTACACAATTACGTTACACGCTACACACCTAAGTTAGTCCAAAATTGAACGAACTGTTCGGCCCAACACACCACTCTCAAAACTGGTGCAATTTTGAGTGACGCTTGCTCATCCACATAAACTGTCCAAGCCATTCATTGTTTTCGCTTTGCTTTCCCAGTAATGAAGTTAAGAAGCTTTTCCCACGGTGAAACTTAGTTACTTGAGGAATGCATTTTAGAATATGACTCGAACAGACTTTCATCTCCTGAGTCGGTAGCAGAGTATCATAGGATAGTAGGTTTCTTTCTTGGAAAAGTACACTTAATTTCACTTGTGGATTCCTTGTCAGATGAGTACACAACACTGTCTTCTGTAGCGTCCACATCTGTGGAGGTGTGACCTTCACACGATCCAATCAATATGCTTTATAGCCTGTCTTGCTCGTCTAAGCGAAGAACAGTCGATTAAGGTTGTCTTCATTGTTGCGCGTGAGTGAGGACACATGCTAATCAGTCTGTTTATGAAATGACAAACTCACAAAATATTGTAAACACCGTCGTGAAATTCAGTGAACAACACCTGTCAAAAACAGTGACTTCACCCTGTTTTTTGTTGTAGTATCTAGCATCCTTACGTTCTTTGTGGAATTAATGATGACAGTGAGTTGAATAACCAGGGTGCTGCTGGTAACCCGTGGTAACAGCAACAGACAACAGACAAACAAGTGTAAATGTGATATGAATCCGAGTGCAAACTGCATAGGTGTCCTGTAGTTACAGTCGGTAACTATAGGCAACGTACAAAAACGGCTGCGCACCCGTCTGGGAGTCAGTCAGGAATGCTGTGTGTGGAAAACTAGATAGGGTCAGGTGAGGCGCATGAATCGATCAATACTGACGGAGAGCATTGGTAATTATTACATGCCACCAATCGGAAGTAGTGAAAGCAAGATAATGATGACCTCGTTCAAGACATGAACTTGATCTGACTAATTGATTGTTTTTTTTCATATAGAGACACAAAGCTTGGTGAAATCACCAAACAATTTGTTAGACCGTGACTACTGCGTCAGCAACGACGACGTTGGCCACCTTGATAAGATAAATGGGATCTTGAAAACGTCACGCGTTCTGCTTTCGCTTCAATGTTAGCTTGAGTTGAATGTTCATTTGACAATGTTCGGAAGTTCCTGAGGACGGAACTCATGCTACTTATTGTCTGCACCTGTAAACCTCCTGTACTGTGGAAAGGAAGTTTCATAAATACTTTGATTTTATAAACGAACGTCAGAGGAAAGTTGATGAATGCATTCATGCGTCCAAAAATGCACATCGGATATCCGCACCGCCATATTCCTTCCGGTCGGAGTAATTTTAGTCATGGTTACCACTGTGTTCGTTCCATCGAATAGAATACACCCATCCGAACACTAATTTGGTTTACCAGGAAATTCAACTGAATCTGATTGAATATCTCGTTTGTGATGGGACTTTCTGAGTTTGCTATAAAAGGTTGCCTGGTAGCGCTCAGTGGCGGCTGTACTGATGGTTTTTCAGCTGGGAAGAAACCCACTGGAGATATTCTTTCGAGTCTTCCTTGAGCATTTTCTTAGTTTTTCAAACATTGATAACCATATTTCCGTTCAATTTAGAGGTAGGCTTGATGGAAATTGTGAGAATCAGTCCAGTTGGAGGGTCTGGTGAGGGACGAAACTGGTTGTCGCTTGTCCCAAGGAGAATGGCGGAAAAAAATTGAAGGTAAGAAACTAATAGGTTTTCTGTCGAGAGGCTACTGACTTGTCACACTCGATAGAAGATGACGTGAGTATTGTCTGGCAACCCAAGAAATACATTATTAGAATGACATATAAGAAGAATCTACGAAAAAATGCTTCCCGTTTGTTGCTGTATAAAATATGCTCCACCAGAGGATTACCGTTGATATTGAGATGAATTTAGATTTGTTGGCTTCATGGACCAGAGACCACGGACCTCTGAAGAACGAGGTTACGAAGGGGTACCAGTAAGCGGCTAAATAACATAAACATCACAAATGGGAGGTTCAGCTGGGTTCCAGGTGAGTCTCTCGCACAACCAAATTTGTTTGAATGAGTGTATTTCGTTGACATAATCATCCCGTTTTCTGCGTTTTATGGAATCACAAAACCGGAAACTCGGTCACCATACCGTTGCTGGTGAAAAGCTACAGCGAGTTACCGTGTAAGCACTGTTTCGGTCATTTTACCATGACCAAATTTTAGTCCCGATAAAGACTTTAGTCATTACAGCTCAGGTAAAACTGGTTAGATTTCACGGTTGGTTGACGGCTTTGGAAATACCAGCGAGTATCTCAGCATTTGGGAAATCTAGATAGTTAAGTTTATACACAAGTCAGTCACCAAACGTGTAACAACTGACATGATAAAGTAGAAAACTTTTTAGACGTAATACACTACTCATAACGTTGTTGAAAATACTTTGAATGCACACAGTCGGTTTTGGTCTTCTTGTTGTTCATCAAGTAGGCGCGGTTTCCCGAGGTTCAGCTTGGCTCCAGATGAGTCTCTCAAAAAACCCAGTTCCTTTATACATGAGTGTATTTTGCTAAAGAGTTTGTTCTTCTTGACGGAACATATTCATCAGGTTACTGAATATTCACCACCCACGACTAATCAGGGACTCGTTAGGTAAGCGGAGTCTCTGTTTTCCAACTTTGTTCTGTACTTCCTTCTGTTGTGATTAGATCTGAATTTGTATGGCTCATCACGCTGCACACTGGAAGCCAGTTTTTCATGAAGATGCCCTGCAAGGATTTATGAAGCAAAATATTCAGCACCACTCTGGTTTAATGTAGTTAGTACACTGCTTTTTCAATGATCCTTCCCAATGTCTAGCTGGTTTGGTTTTTCCCCATCTCAAGCCATTATTTTTCCTTTTTTAGTGAAGATTGTAAACAGCTCGTCAAAACATATCCCAACATTGCATGTGTTTCACAACTCCTACATTGCAGGTTAGTGAAGGAAAGTGCATTAGGTCAGGCTACGCTCTCAGCACAACGGTCGCATGAGGTATTGTGTAGCTCATATCTCTTCGAAGGCTCACTGTGTCCAACTTGGCCCGTATGAAAAGGAAACCTGCATTATTCTCGATTTGCAATGACCATTGATGCATATGATGAACTTGGATTTGTATGATAAAGTGGCTGACGAGGTGTGACTGTCGAAGCCCTTCAGAGAAAGAGTGCAACAGACAGACTATGCAGATATTAGTTTATATATGCATCGCAGCATTCATTGGCACGCCAGTGGTGGAAATTTTGATGTAAATTACGGTCCATAGCTGAAACATTGTTGACCAAATGAGACCAAGCAGAGTATGCGTGGAACAGAATAAGGAGGATGGTATCACGAAGTTGTGTTGCTAATGCATCGCCTGACAGCAAGACTGTCAGACTCTCTCACAAGACTTGTGTTGTATGACCTAGAAAAAAACGCGCGAGTACCACTGAAGCCGCGCAACTGATACCTATCAGGAATTCTCACAGTTCTAGGGTTTGCCAATCACTCGCCCCTTCGTATTTCTCATGCGCCAAAAGGTTCTGGTCTGGCAGAAACCTTACAGGTACTGATGTTATCTTCTCCATAAAAAGCGATGCTCTCGACAGCCATAATGCTGAGCGACGTCATGAACTTCTGAACATTAAATTGGGAGAACTTTTATTGGAAGGTTTCAAGCCCGGCAATTCAGAGTTCACAGATAAATGTGCTCATGACATTGCTGCATTAGTTTAAAACCTTGAATTGTTTTCTTCAAGTCCCTTTCATTGAAAATTCCGTAAACACGGAAGTTTTCTTTGGTTCCCAGGTTTCATTCACCGTGAAACCCAAAGTCTTGTTAGTTATCAAGCAACGGTAGAGAGCAAACACATTTCACTACACAAAAGAAACTTTCGATGTTTTTAATAAGCGGGTTTACTGACCGTTCCTTGCCCGGTAGAATTAACCCACTCAAATATGAAGACCTCCCTTCGTTCGTGAACGGCCTCCGGATAGGGTCGCACGGCACAGATTAACGTAACTCAGTATGTTACTCTGTACATGGTTGACTTCTATGCGCTTCGATAATTTGCTCAGTGTGTTTCCCCTTTCGTGAGTTCGGTAATTCAACAGACTACCTTCTTCTGCACATTNATTTGTATGGCTCATCACGCTGCACACTGGAAGCCAGTTTTTCATGAAGATGCGCTGCAAGGATTTATGAAGCAAAATATTCAGCACCACTCTGGTTTAATGTAGTTAGTACACTGCTTTTTCAATGATCCTTCCCAATGTCTAGCTGGTTTGGTTTTTCCCCATCTCAAGCCATTATTTTTCCTTTTTTAGTGAAGATTGTAAACAGCTCGTCAAAACATATCCCAACATTGCATGTGTTTCACAACTCCCACATTGCAGGTTAGTGAAGGAAAGTGCATTAGGTTAGGCTACGCGCTCAGCACAACGGTCGGATGAGGTATTGTATAAGCTCATATCTCTTCGAAGGCTCACTGTGTCCAACTTGGCCCGTATGAAAAGGAAACCTGCATTATTCTCGATTTGCAATGACCATTGATGCATATGATGAACTTGGATTTGTATGATAAAGTGGTTGACGAGGTGTGACTGTCGAAGCCCTTCAGAGAAAGAGTGCAACAGACAGACTATGCAGATATTAGTTTATATATGCATCGCAGCATTCATTGGCACGCCAGTGGTGGAAATTTTGATGTAAATTACGGTCCATAGCTGAAACATTGTTGACCAAATGAGACCAAGCAGAGTATGCGTGGAACAGAATAAGGAGGATGGTATCACGAAGTTGTGTTGCTAATGCATCGCCTGACAGCAAGACTGTCAGACTCTCTCACAAGACTTGTGTTGTATGACCTAGAAAAAAACGCGCGAGTACCACTGAAGCCGCGCAACTGATACCTATCAGGAATTCTCACAGTTCTAGGGTTTGCCAATCACTCACCCTTTGTATTTCTCATGCGCCAAAAGGTTCTGGTCTGGCAGAGACCTTACAGGTACTGATGTTCTTCTTCTCCATAAAAAGCGATGCTCTCGACAGCCATAATGCTGAGCGACGTCATGAACTTCTGAACATTAAATTGGGAGAACTTTTATTGGAAGGTTTCAAGCCCGGCAATTCAGAGTTCACAGATAAATGTGCTCATGACATTGTTGCATTAGTTTAAAACCTTGAATTGTTTTCTTCAAGTCCCTTTCATTGAAAATTCCGTAAACACGGAAGTTTTCTTTGGTTCCCAGGTTTCATTCACCGTGAAACCCAAAGTCTTGTTAGTTATCAAGCAACGGTAGAGAGCAAACACATTTCACTACACAAAAGAAACTTTCGATGTTTTTAATAAGCGGGTTTACTGACCGTTCCTTGCCCGGTAGAATTAACCCACTCAAATATGAAGACCTCGTTTCGTTCGTGAACGGCCGCCGGATAGGGTCGCACGGCACAGATTAACGTAACTCAGTATGTTACTCTGTACATGGTTGACTTCTATGCGCTTCGATAATTTGCTCAGTGTGTTTCCCCTTTCGTGAGTTCGGTGATTCAACAGACTACCTTCTTCTGCACATTTTATCGACACGTGATCAATGATGTAACGATTTTATAGTTGATGTTTATAACTAGATGGAAAATCTTTTGGCAATAATTCTACGAATGGTAACTATCATAATTGAAGTTCAGCCTCATGGCTACATCTACAGTCAGTTGTCTGCTGTGAATGGAAATCCACGGAGGAAGGCACTGAGTATCCCCGTATAACCAGACAATGTCTTAAATGTTGAAAACATCAAAAGCCAGAAGAAAAACTGTTTAAGTTGGCTCGGGTGAATGCAGATGCATCAATATTCGACTAGTCAGCTGAAATCATCTGAGGTAGACTTACTGGAACAAAAAGTGATATTTCCAAAACTGTCCAGTGGACAAATTATAGCCATGATGATGGTCCTGTGTAGATGAAACACGAACAAACACCAGTGGTCCTGGTAAGTTTTGTACTAATATGGCTCAGAATTAAGATACCGTCCAATACTGAAATGACATTGCCTGTTACTCACTTTACTTTTCTTTCCGTCTAACTGGCCAATATCCTTCACTTTGCTTATGGTGACAATTATATTTACTAGAAGAACTGGGTGCAGTCTCAGGGCTTAACTTCGTTAAACCAATGTGTCGAATGACGTTTGTGTACTTGCGACCAAAGGTGTTATGGAAGTTGCTGTAATGGACCGGTTTTCTAAATCAAACAACGGCTATGGACCGTTGGCTGAAAACAAATACGTGAAGGTGGGAATTTGAGCACCACTGCCTACGGCTCTGTGAGCTAGACTACTGTGAGACCAGGCACGGTTTTTCTTATGCTAGAGCATATTTGGACGTTGCTTATGTGATCAATCACACATCCTCGGCTGTGTACTCCCAGAATTCGCTGATGAGCAAACCATTCATTTTGTTCATTTGCACGCATTTGTATAGTTTGCTTGGATAGCCTTTGTGTAGGTTTGACGTAGGAGAGACAAAAGCTGGAGCTGAAGGCGGGTCTTTCTGTGAACGATGGTAACGTACGGAGTAAAATTATTCTTTTGAGAACCTGCTACATGCATCATTCGTCGAGGTGGCAGAATCCATTAACAGTGGTGGGGACGGTGGACACATTACCTCAAGATACCCTGATCCAACCACTCCATTAGGTGATAGAATTACCTATTAGGCGATAACGCTCTTCATTCCCGGAATGAGCGTTCCGTCACTTTCATGTCTTCGCCATATTGTGCATGGCAGTGGTTTTAAACCCGATACAAACTGGGCTATCATCATCTTATCTACAAGAACTTCGTTGTTTTATGAGATCACTCCAATATTCTTCTCGTTTTGTTTCTAATTTTGCTAAACAGGCAAGTTGGTTGACAGATATGACATCCAACAATCAAGTTTCATGGTCATCTAACCATGAAAAGACGTTGCGTGCATTGTTTTGTCATCTTCGAACTTTAGCTGTTTTAAAACGATTTTCCACCAAACACCACTCGACCATCATTACTGATGCTTCTCCCACTGGAATGTGGCAGATCGGTGATCTGAATTTCCGTCAACTCTCAGTAGCTGGACGCAGATATTTCCAAACTCAATGAGAAGTACCGGTATAATATTCTGTCATACGGTTTCATAAGTATCTTTTTGAATCAAACTTTGCTATTGCCACTGATCACGTGGCCTTGAAGTTATCGTATCATCCTACAAATTCTCTAGCAAACTCATCTACCCCTAATGTGCAACGGTGGATTATTGAACTGAGTTCCAATAACTACATGGTTGTTCATCGTAGTACAAAGATGATTCATCATGCCGACTTCTTATCCGGAATTCCGTTATGCGACTCCGGTTCAAACAACTCGGGTCGCTTATTGACTCGACCAATATCGGTCAGGAGGGATGCGATTGTTGCTGACATTGAAAGATATATTTTCCCTTTTTTTCTGCACCACGGCGTGACTGGACATAGCAAGAGCAAAGTTGATTTCCTACATTCTACTCCGGATGGTTTATTGCGCTTTGGGGATAGAGTTATTATTCTACTGACTCGGCGAGCGGCTGTTCTTGCATATTTGCACTCTGGTTATTTGGGTATTGACAAAATGAAATCTCTTGCGTGCTTGTCATATTGGTGGCCGGTATCAGATGCTGACACCAAGTACGCTACTAAAAATTGTGTTGCATGTTCACACAAGATTCATAGCAAATCTTCACAGTGGTATCGTTGCCAGTTACTTGTGAGACATTTCAACGAGTTTATGCTGACTACCGAGGTCTTTTTCTTAGTAAATTTTATGCTTTAAATTTTATTGATGCATATTTGCGTTGGCCAAGTGATGAATTCATACAACAAGCGTTGAGAAAAGTATTCAGCCAGGAAACTGAACCAACTGCTTTAGTCGCTGACAACGACACACACTCTACTGCAAAATCCCTCGACGAATGGTTGAAAAATCTTGGATTTCGACATCTGTTTACTGCTCCACAACATCCGCAGCCGAATAAGCTAGCTGAGAATTTTGTGCGAACACTTAGATATTCCATTACTATATTCTCTCCCAATTCTTTTGTGCAGTTAGACCGCGGAATTGATAATTTTCTAATGCAATACAGGAATGCGGTTCATTCAGTTACTGGGAAGAGTCGCGTAACCTTTTTAAACCTCGCTCGTTGATGTCACCTTTTTCAAGGTCTGCTACAGGGATAATACCTTCATTAGATGACAAACGTATGGTCACAGTTATTGATGTGGATAATCTATCTCGTCACCGGAAACACATTGATGTAGTTGAGTACAATAACGGTGGTCAGTCTGTTAACGGCACTTTTGCTGTCTTCAACTTCTAATGAACCCTTTGCGGACGATCTCTCTGAAGAACATACTACCTCCAAAGAGCCCCAAATTTCCAATCCAAGATCCGGAAGAGTAGGATCAAGACCACCAGTGAAGCATAAACGCGCACACGCCCATTTAAAGAGCCCCAAATTTCCAATCCAAGATCCAGCATAAACGCGCACACGCCCATTCAGGGTGTGGCGGATGTAATGAACATGATAGATGCTCTATTTATTACTCTATTGATTATTCACTTGTTTTAATCTTTAAAGCGCCGTACACGCACATCAATTTGAATACATACGTGCTACTTGTTTTGCCGTGATGAATTCTGAATTTTTAGTTCATTCGGTTATATTAATATACGTACTGAACTCAATTATTGCAACCTGTATGTCGATCCATAGTTGTAACAATCCTAGAATAACCTTAATTGCAAAAAATGCCAAAGTAGAATTATCCAGTTTATCAGCTATCAAAAGGTTTTGTATTTAAAAATAGCATAAAACAGTTTTTTACGCATGATAAGAAAAAAATTAACTACGTCAAGTTTGAACGGCACAGTTAGAAATTAAGTTTGCAGGATATTAAAACGGGTAAACACCCATTTATCAAGGTGATTCTGGATTGGTTATATGACCAACAAAGACCGGGACCATAGTGTCAGAGATGATGGCCAAAAAGAATGGGTGGTCCACTCGGAAAGGTGGCGGTCCCATCATCATTCGGGAAACCATCATTCCAGTAGATGCTGCCGCAGTTGCTCCCTCCTCGTCGATCTGAATATAACCAATGGCAGCGGCGAATTGGTGAATTCTAATTATAAATATAACTGGAGGTGTCAGAAGCCGCAGTAACTCTTCCAAACAGATATACTATCACAGACGCGGAAAACCTTTGCACCATTTCACTACCTAAGGTTTTAAAGGGTTCCTACTGCGCCAATTGTTTGCATTTTTTTCTCAGAACTTCGGTTTTTGCGCATGTCTGGGGGATCAGTAGATTAAATCAATGAGTACCA